AACACACGTGGTGACACGCATTCCAAGGCAATATATTATCGTTTTCTCTATTGTTTAGCTTTTTTTTTTTCTCTTGTTCATCATTGACTATAGCGAGCCCGGACCGAGGGTGAACAATTTCACTAAGGCTGGAACTGTCCTATTCGTGTGGTTTGAATTCATTTCTATCTTGTTCAATCTAATCCAATTTACTGTTTTGTGTCAAATTAATCCGCGTATCCTTAGAACCACTTACAAATTCAATTATTATCCGATTTTAAGGGTAAATATGGGCAAAATTGTAAAATATATACTTCATTTATTTTTTCAAAGGGAGTGCAAAGTCAAAAGTGGATAACTAAAAGTGAAAGGAGAAAATACACAACTACTCACCTTTGATCAGTAACACGGGGAAGGTAACTTTTGGATTATCAATCATCTCGTCAAAATAGAGCCACAAACGTGTAAATTACCAACAAGATATGTAGAAAACGACGACAGAAACTCCTCTATTTCATCTCCATTTCTTTATGTACCCAAAACATCCACGTATTAAAGTTGTCTTTTACACACTCGTGATAAGGGCATTTTGCATGTTTAAGTTCTCTATAATTGTCAAGGTGAAATCCACAAAATAAAATTTATTATAGAGTAAATTAGTCTTTATCTTTCTATAAACAAGTAAGCAACTATAAAGAGGTAAAATTATCCGAAATATTGGTTTATTTGGTGACCCATATTAAACTAAAACCAAAATTCTCGGGTTGGAAAACAAAAATTTTGGAAAACTGACATGATTTTTCGTTGAAGACAAAATTCCATATTCTAATTTAAGCATCTTAACCTACAACGAAATACTATTAAGATTTTTACGTAATATGCGAGTTAGTTTAGATAGATGATTAGGAATCAACTATACTTGTTCCGTAGCCTCGCCAATTAAGGAACCGAAGACCAATTATAAGTCTTACTTCTTAAACCTCCTTAGACTTTTACGTAAAGAAAAGTTTAATTTTAAATATTCTTTGGATATACACTTGCGCGAAGTTGTTAATTTGATCGATCCTATTTTACTTTTTTGGAAACATTAAATTGTACATAAAATAGTAAATGAAGTATATTAAGTACAGTACGAAATTACATACACTAACAACGCAAAACATTATTACACTATGGCGGTGTGTAATTTTGCTTGTAAAAGGTCATTTATATGTATAATCTATCTATCTATCTATATCTATAGCTATCTATATTATTATAAAAGCACGAATAATTTACGCTAAATGTTGAACGACTAAAATATCCCTGAAATATTGATCGACTTTTATTCCCTTAAATATTTGTATAATTTAAGGATTTAATTGTAATTAAATTACTCTATAATGGAATTCTTTTTCGATTTAAACTACACATCAACCCTACAAAATTGATCTCCTACTTGAATTAGATAAACAAATTCATAATTTTGTTTTAAAAAATAAAGGTCTCTAGCGTATTTTACTACAACATATGTTGTAGATTGACGTGACTTATGAGCAAATTTTAAATGATTTACCGGTTCATGAAGCTTAAAAGAAAAATTATAAGACTTATACATAGTACTAATTTCTCCCTTTATCTTCCTCAATTGAGTGTATCTATATCTATATTTTTATCTATCTATCTATCTATCTATCTATCTATATTTATTATAAAAGTCCGAATGTTGAAACATTAAATGTTGAACGACGAAAATATTAATCAATTTTTATACCCTTTGAAAGCTAAATAAATTTTAAAAAAATTTATCCCTAAAGGATGAAACTGTAAAAGCACAAAGCACGAATATTAAAAGACGAAAATATCGTTGAAATATTAATCAATTTTATAGCCTTTGAAAGCTAAACAAATTTAAAAAAATATTATCACTAAAGAATGAAATGGTAAAAGCACGAATATAAAGTCAGTAGACCAAAATAGCTTGAACCAGTAAAGTTAACTTTCTACCAGAAAAAGACACAATTATCAAGAGTTCTATTACTGTAGGGAGTTGCGGATCTTTTTTTTATTTTTTCTCAATGGACATGTTAGAGTTAAAAGAAAAAAAAAACAAGAAAACAATAAGCAGCTCACTTTCCCAACGGAAGTAAGAGAATGAGAAAGTCACTATACCAATTGAAATAGGAGAAGATAAAGAACCATGTTGACATGGAAAAGGAAGCCATAACATCGAGCTACCTCCGTAAGTTCAAGTCTAATAAAGACTCTAATTTAGCTCTTTTTACAGTGTATGAGATTCAAAGTCTAAATGATTATGGGTAGACTTAAGGATCAATTAAAAGAAATAATTATTTTGATAGTCATAACTTATATATTTTGTGATTAAATTCCAAGCGGGATTATACATACACCTTTTGAGAGTTTTTAAAGAAGACCACAAGATAACACCAGCAAATTAGTGTCAAAAATATGATTCATGGTTCAGATAAAAGCTATCGTAATATAAGTACGTGCATGAGGTGCGGTGAGTGCAAGAATTACTTTCCTCAGCCCTTTAGTAATAAATCATGTAAGGAAATGAAGAATACCCTATTTATAGGAGGAAAATACTAGAAAATGTTCAAATATAAGTGGCATGATAATAAATTAGCAATGAGTTGTGGCCTATAATTCTTATTTACTATACTATTATAACTTAAAAATAAAATTTATATTGAAAAAATTATTACTCCCTCTGTTTCTATTTATGTGAACCTATTTAATAAGGCACGTAATTTAAGAGAAGAGAGAAGATTTTTGAGCTTGTGATATAAAATGATAAATCATTACATAAAAGGTAAATTATTTCCCAATAAAGAAATGAGTCATTCCCTTATTTGATTCAACTGCTATACAAATTATATTTGGACAATACACTAGAGATCCAATAAATTTACATAAACTTCCAGCTCAATTATTCTCTTGTCCAAGAAGGATATAATCACGTTTTAATATTGTGGGTATTATGTCCTACTTGAAAATAATTGACTAAAGATCTACGTGCAATGCACGTACATAGTAACTAGTATTATTATAAAAGCATGAATGTTCTATGCTAAATGTCGAACGACAAAAATATCTCTAAAATATTGATTGACTTTTATACCCTTAATTATTTACATTAGTGTTTACAGAAAATCGTATGAAAAGGACAAAACTAGAAATACTACACACTAGGATAGGTACTTGTAGTAGAATCCATTACACATCAGGATCTCTTTAGCGGCGGTGATTTATTACAACACTAAGTGCACAAAATTTGGTGGATTTGAATGTTCTATTATATGCAAAATATTACTTAATATTTGAAGAGATTTAACTTCCGTTTTTTATAAATGGTATCTTTATTTTCCATGCAGAATCCCAAATTAATATATATTTATATTATAAATTTCCTACCTAATTCAATAAGAAAAGATTAGTAATCAAAATTTTAGTTGATTATAAAATTGTAAATATTAAAAAATAACTTAAATGGCTAATTATTCTATTATATGCAAAATATTAATTGATTTTTGAAGAGATTTGACTTCCGTTTTCTATACATGGTATTTTTATTTTCCATACATAATCCCAAACTAATATATATTTATATTATAAACTTCCTACCTAACTCAATAAGAAAACTAGAAAAGATTAGTAATCAAAATTTTAGTTGATTATAAAACTTTAAATATTAAAAGAATAAATTAAATGATAATTTTATTCGATGCAAAATTTATTTTTAAAATTTAAAAAAGATAAATAATATTATATTTCATTAAAGGCCTTCTTGCTTTTAGTATAGTCTGTATCTATCTATATTTATCTGTATATCTATCTATCTATATTATTATAAAAGCACGAATGTTTCATGATAAATGTTGAACGACAAAAATATCCTTAAAATATTAATCAACCTTTATACTCTTATACTTTGTTAAAAAGATAGTTCCATATTGAATAAAATAATAATATCTAATTAATTTGAATATTTAGGAATCTAATACCAACTAATGATAGAATTTCTCAATGTACGTTACCTCCTGCCATCATCCACATTAGAGGCGCATCCGGGATTTAAATCTTATGGGTTCAACTTTTAAGGTTTTTAGCATTGAACCCATTATATTTTTAAAGTTATGGGTTCATATCCGTTACTTTTGCAATTTTAATGAATTTTTACATATAAATTTTTACTCCGCATCAAAAGTTATGGGTTCAATTGAACCCGTTAGTTGTTCACTACATCCGCCTCTGAATTCCACATCTCCTACACAGTTATACCAACAATCTCCTATATTATTCTTTTATTAAATGACCAAATATTAAAACTTTGAATTGGACAATATCAATCAAACCATGCTCATTATGATTATTTTTTAAAATTAAATTTGAAACTCTTTCATAAATAATTGACTTAAAAATCTCGTGCAAAGCACGAACGTAGAAACTAGTAGGTTTTTATACATGTCAATCATCTATAAAAGTCAACTAGTAGAAATAATAATCTGTATTTACTTGCATCAGTAAATTTTTAAAACTCGAATTTGAAAATTCACTTATAGAAGAATATGCGGCAAAACCTTTAAATTCAAAAAGATTTTTACGTGTATCAATAGTTTGAAAATTTTTGTACCAAACACAGTTGATTATGATGTAATATATACTTCCTAATCCCACAAAGATCCCAAACCATATACCGTAGTTTGAGTTAATTGATTAATAAGGAAATCACTAATATTTAAAAGGATATTTACACAAATAGCCAATTGGATTCATTGTTGACTAATATATCCTAGACGGTAGATTATATATTGATCATTGTACAATTGGATATTACTTTTTCTAGCTAGTACATATAAACTATACAATGTTTATACAAGGTTATACACTTCTTATACATTCACCATGTATTTTTTTAAGTGATTAGGTAAATAATTATTTAAATTAATTCTTCCTAATTAAAGAGCATTGAAACATTCAAACAATTGGTTTTCCTTTTTTTTTTTTTTAATTACTTAATACTCGGTGCATATAGTGGACAACAAAAATATGTTTTCTTTCACTTTACACTTTTAAACTTATATCTTATCATTTTCGTCCTCTTCCATTCCATTTGCAAATTCCTAGCCATGGACATTTTCTCACTTCAAACACTTATCTTCACTATCTTAATATCTCTCTTTCTCTATTATTTTTTATTTCTCCTTAAAAATACCAAAAAACCAGGCTTCAATATCTACCCACTCGTCGGAGCTTTACCGGAGTTTCTCCTTAACCGTCACCGTTTTCTGGAATGGACCACCGACGTACTCTCCAATTGCGCCACCAATACCGCCGTTTTCTACCGTCCTGGTAATGTTCACGGCGTCATCACTGCCAATCCACTCAACGTTGAGCATATGCTCAAAACTAATTTTGAGAATTTTCCTAAAGGCATCCGTTTCTATACTCGGCTTGAAGATTTTCTTGGTGATGGCATATTTAATGTTGATGGTGAAATATGGAAAATTCAACGGAAATCTGCTAGTTATGAATTTAGCACCAGATCTCTTCGGAATTTCGTCATAGAAACTGCACAGGTAATGTTTAAGTGTCACCATTTAACCTAAAAGTTTTGTAGTTTTAGTGATAAGATTAAGTACTTTTTTATAGGAAAAATCGAGTTAAAATAGAGGGCAAATAATTGCATTCACTAGCCAAAAAGTATATATAATATTTATATTTTTTTGTATATTTCCGTTGTTCCAATTTATGTGAACCTGTTTGACTGCGTACGGTGTTCAAGAAAAAATAAGATTTTTGGAATTTGTGATCCTAAACAAATCAAAAAGGGGTCCAGTGTATTTGTGTGGTTATAAAAACTTCTCATTAGGGGTATAATTGTAAGTTTAAGCTAAATTGTTTCCAAATTTAGAAAGGGGTCATTCTTTTTGGAATGGACTAAAAAGGAAATAGGTTCACATAAACTGAAATAGAGGGAGTATAATATACATATATACTACAAAAGATGTACATTTTATAGGCTATTATTTTTTGAAGCAGCTATAAACATATATTTCTCTTATATAATATATCTTTTATTATACAAAAAGGCTTAACTTTACCTTGTGTGTTAACTGTTAAGTTGGGGTTACTCACGGCTTTGTGGTTAGTATTGTCTTGTATTTGGTATCAAGAGTAATTTAATACTATTGTCAAAAGTAGTTATGCAAATTTAAAGTTTATTTAAGTATAACTCAACATATCACTTAACATGGAGTACTCATTATTATTATTATTATTATTCATAAATGTGAAAATATTACTTTATTATAAGTGGTGGTGTATGTGTTTTGATACTATGTTGAATTTGTCGCTTCATTTATGTTTAAACAATTAGAAAGAAATTACACTTTTAATTTTTTTAAATTATATTATAACAGGTGGAGATACATACACGTTTGATTCCAATTCTTGAAGAAGCAGCCAAAACGGATAGAATTATTGACATTCAAGACATCTTAGAGAGATTTGCATTTGATAATATAATCAAGCTTGCATTCAATGTGGATCCAAATTGTTTAGGTGGAGCTGAAAGTGAATTCATGCAAGCTTTCGAAATTGCAACAACTCTAAGTTCAGGTAGGTTTATGTATGCTATTCCCTTTCTTTACAAAATCAAGAAATTCTTGAACATTGGATCAGAAAAAACCCTACAAAAATCAATCAAGATTGTACACGAATTCGCGGATAAGATCATAAATTCAAGAATGGAAGAGCGAGCTGAGAAAAAAGATGAAGACTTGTTATCAAGATTCATGGGGGATACTCAATTCTCACCTAAATTTTTAAGGGACATAGTCATTAGTTTCATATTAGCCGGTCGAGACACGACATCATCGGCTCTCACTTGGTTTTTTTGGATATTATCTTCAAGGAAAGATATAGAGGAAAAAATATTAGAAGAATTAGAAGAAATTCGTGGAAGAAATGGGAAAAAGATTGGTGAAGCTTATAATTTTGACGAATTAAGAGAAATGAAGTATCTTCATTCAGCTATTTCAGAAGCAATGAGGTTATATCCACCTGTACCGATTGATACAAGGTCATGTTTGAAAGATGATATTTTACCAGATGGGACTTTTATTGGTAAAGATTGGTTTTTTAGTTATCAAACTTATAGTATGGGAAGAATGGAAAATATTTGGGGTAAAGATTGTGGTGAGTACAAACCAGAAAGATGGTTTGATGAAAATGGAGTTTATAAGCAAGAAAGTCCATTTAAATATCCAGTGTTTCATGCTGGACCAAGAATGTGTCTTGGAAAAGACATGGCTTATATTCAGATGAAGTCAATTGCAGCTTCTGTTTTAGAAAAGTTTGAATTAGATGTTCAATTAGAGAATGGAAAATGTCCTGAGTATGTGTTATCTTTGACTCTAAGAATGAAAGGAGGATTACCTATGAAGGTAAAAGAAAGATATGACCAATAATTAATTTTGGGTTTCGGGTTTTGGTCACATGTACAGTATAGCTTATTCTAAATAAAAGTTTGCTGCATGTTTCTTCGTAATTTGCTTTCTTTGGAAGAAAGGGAAAGTTTTGGTAAGAATATATGTGGATCATTGATTTGAATAATGTAATGTGATCACAATCTAAAGTTTAATTTAGAGTGCTGACATTCTTCAGTTTAATTTAAAGTCGTAAATGTGACTTCCTTGCGTTTCATTATATCAATCAACGATTGCAATACATCAATGTAGGCAACCTAACTCAACAACAATCAATTAAGCATTGAAATAAATGATGACAAGAAATAAAGTTTGTACCAAGACAGTCAAGGTGCGCAAAAACTAACTCGGACACCATTGTTACTCAAAAAGGTTGTACCAAATTAGCACGACGTAAACGCCTTGGTTAGTACCTAGCAATGGCTTGTCAACAGTTGAAATTGAGACTACATAATCTAACATCAATAGGGGAGTTCGATTTTTCCCGCAAAAAAAGAAGAGAAAATCTCACGTTATACCCATCATCACTACTAGAAAAACATCAATTTGTGACCGAATTTTGCGACTGAAAATGAAGTAGTCGCTAATGGGACTACTTTTGCGACCGCAGTAGTCGGAAAGGGATTGAATTTTTATTACTTGTTTTTTTTTTAAAAAAAAAACAACTATTATTCCGACCAAGGCAGCGGAAAAACAGCGCGCCAATTTCCCGCCTTCACCTTTGCGACCGATTCAGTCGGACATTAAAAAGTCAAATATTTCTGTTGACCTACTAAGCGATTGTGCCGGTCGCAAAGTTAAAATTAAAATAATAAAAGAATTTTAAGCGGGTTTGCGACTACGGTGGTCTGTACCTTTAATCTAATATTCCACATCCAAACCCTATTTCCCCAATTTCCTCTCTCTCTCTCTCTCTCTCTCTCTCTACTCGCCGATTCCCCCCCCCCCCCCCCTCTCTGCTCGACACCGATAACCCTTCTCTCCCCAAATATATATATCCCACTATGTCTATGGGGATTTCCAGAATAGACAACTAATTTCCTCAACTAGATCAATTCTGTTGCTTCACCGTCTTACCCTACTAATTTTCCCTTCTCTTGCTACTCATAATTCAACTTAGAACAGGGAAAGGAGCATCTAGGTTATCTTCAGTCTGGTTCGGTTAGTCCTCACTCTAATTTGATTGAATTTCATTTATTGGATTATGTGTGGCGGATTTATTAAATTTGTAGTAAAATATTTAATTTGTCTGTCACTTAACAGCTTGAATAAAGTTGCAACTGAGCATCATTTTGGATGTGAATTTGATGTGTATATTAACAAAACCATATATATATACTGAGGGGGTTTTCAAGAGTGTTGAATAATTTTTTATTTCACAACGTATAATATGGAACTATGAATAGAGAGAGTTAAATAATCTAGAAGGATGTCAGAGCCTTTTTTGAAGTTGGTAAATTGAATCAACCTTAGCTTTGCCTTCTATATGAAATCTTGTATATCCATTTAATTTGTTCAATTTAGAAACCTGTTTCGGAATCATGAAAGCGTAAATAATAAATGAAAACGTAAACGGGTAATTGTGTATGATAATTTTGCATGATATGCAAAGGCATATGTGCAAAGTTTTGACTGCTATATAGCTAGGTGATTTTAGGACAATTGCACATCCTAGAAGTAATTTGTGGAAAGTTTCGTGCATGTGGGGTTCAACGCGTTGGTGTAGGGATTCTCTTGAATGGTCGGATTTCTTTACTAACTGAAATAACCCGATTTTATGTTACATATTTCACTTTTAGAAGTTGCTTGATGTACAAATTAAATTTGGATTGCCATAGAGTGATACTCTCTGGGATTCTTTTAGTTGCTCATCTAACTGATATTCTTTTGCTTCCTTTCATGCTTTGTTCTTTATATGAGCAGTTTAAAAATTGAGACCTCATTCTGTTTGTTACTTTGTTAGCAACATATTCTTTCTAAAGCTAAGGTTTTAACTTTGATTCAGCAACAAACAGAATATGTCTATGTTTTATATGAGTTTAACTTATATACTCTGACTGACTTTTTTTAAAAATATTTTAACCAGTATTAGCAGATTAATATTTTCAAGTTATTAATCTCACTTATTATGAATAATTACCATAGTTATATTTTAGATGATTTGATTGTATAAAAACTCTTTTACATTGTTAGTGCATAGCTACTCTTTTATTATTCAGTGTATTATAAAGGGAAAGATCCATCTAAAGACTAATTTATATTGTAATTTTTCTGTGTCACAGTTTACAATTTAAAGATTGTTTACAAGTGATAAAAGTCTCTCTCATCTCATTTTATTAATCACTTTGTTAAGGTCAAAATTTCACTTGCAGTGAAACAAACTGATTATTGTTCTCTTAATTATCATACACAATTACCCGTTCTGTTAAACGGATGTCATCCAAATAAATTCCAACATTTAGGAACCATTGTTCTGTTATCTGTGTACATTCCTGCTACTTCTGATGGTGATGGCACATAAGATTCTTTTGTTGCATTGAGCTCGAACAAGAATAGTAGGAGGTTGTACCAAATTAAACTCTGTATTACAATTATCTGCACTAGTAGAGCATGCTTATATGACTATACTGTATGATAAGGTACCTTTGTGCAAGTCTCATTTGAACCAACTAGTGAAGAAGTCAGTTCTTGAAGGAGATAATTTCATGCGTTATACCCTGGAGCACACTTTAACTTGTTTGTTTCTCGATTGGATTCCATGAACTTGTTTCAATCATTAGTTTTCTTATTATTTTTCCCACAGTTTGGTTGAAAGAGTTATGATTGATCTCTTATCTTTAAGGTTTCCAAATAGTTCTGCTGCTGCTACCATCTTTTAGCTCAATCAACATGACTGCTCTTTTTTGCAGTCGGATGTCTTATTTCGACAACTTTAGTTGTTGTATGTCATCTCTTATAAGAAGTTTCATTCATTGTTTTCAATATCTTACGTCTTGTTGAATTCCTTGACTTTTCACAATATTCCTTATTACTGAACCCATTAGCAATAAGTATCGAGGAGTTGCTGCTTCAAATTTAGCTAATAGTTACTGCTTTTTCATTGTCTTGAGGACAACATTGGTTATATTTACACTTTGTGTTGCATTTTTTCTTCCCTTTTTTGGTAAATTATATCTTCTTTCTTGTTCATTGATTCAGACTGCACTAGTTGTAATCGAACTAGCATTTCCTATATTTTACTTAGTTGCCTGTTGATCCATATGCACATGAACTGCTACACTTACAAGAAACTTTAGATATACTAAGCGGCTGGCAACTTATGTGCTGTTTGTGGTGGCTGACCAGTTCAAAGTAGCTTAGTTGGCTTTTAGTTTAAGAGGTTCAAAGTGCAAACTTGTATTAAAACCATCTCAACCATACATATACCTAATCTGAGCCCTAATGCCTACCTTTTAGCCAGGTTTTTCACTAAGGCAAATCAAAACATTACAAAAAGAACACAACGAAGAAGTCAAAAAAAAAGTAAACACATGAAGAATTCAATCGGCGCCCCTTCCGTAAGAGTAGCTCCACCAAGGCCTTTTTAAGTAGAGTTATTGATCACTTCACACTAATAAATACTACTAACTAGAATATCTTCAAGAAAAGGATCGCAAATATTCAAACAAAAAAGAAAATTAACGTAGAAAAAAATATACCGAAATACATTGAAGAAACTAAATATCAAAATACATATGTGTACGTAATGTATACACAAAACAAGGCAGGTTACCATTATAATTTATGTGGCTCTCATGTTACCTAATCTCTCAGGTTACAACTTATGTGCTGCTTGTGCGGCTAGCACTTTGAAATCTAACTCTCTTCTTTTTGGTTTTTTTTTTTCCTTTTTGCTTATGTGGCTGAGCTTGAATTAGAGGAGAAAGGGGAAATTTTGGGTTGCATTAGGATGAACTTAGTAGGGAAGTATATATAATGGAGGTTTCTATGTATACAGATGATAATAAAGCCAAGAATGAGTATTTTAGAGTTTTAAGGCAATCATATTTTTGCAAGTATAAATACCATATTTTGTCAGATTTTGGAGTTTCCAACAGATTCAAGTTTTTGTCTTTTCTTGATTGTATATAAGAGTTCAACTTTATAAGTTTCTACTAATACAGACAGATTTAAAGTCGCAAGAATTTAAAATTGGCAAACCTGTACTACATGCACTTTTGTATATTAGTCCTTTTTTACTTGAAAATTTTGAAGTTGGAAAATGAAGATACTTATACTCAAGTTTATATAGCAATTAGTTAAAGGGAGATCCAGAGGAGGAACAACAACAGGTAAAAGTATTGTTTGTTGCTCAAGTATAAGTTTTTTTCTTTCTTCTTAAAATTTTACTTTCATCATACTTGCACCATTTCCTTCCTTGTTTATGTGTGTGTTTGTATTTTTATAGATGCATCCTTCATCAGAAAACTGTGAAACGTACATTTTAGTTTCTTCAAGTATCGCTTTGACTCCATTTTAATTTCAGGAAGCCTATCAGCAACGTTTTGAGGAATGGCGCCAAAGTCAACCCGATTCCGAGGATGGTAGATACACCCAAGTGTCACTCAATGATGTAGCTTCAATATGGATGCAGGTGGTTGGTGGCGCAAAGAAAGGTAGAACCTACGGTCTTGGATCACAATATTCTGTAGGTCGTTCTACGACATTGTTGTCTGGTGATGCGAGTTATTCGCAAGATCACGAAGAGGTGGAAGCATTACGAAAAGAAGTTGAAGAGTTGAAGGAGGAACGGAAAGAAGATCGCGCAAATTTTTAACAAATTGCAAAGTCTAGTGGAGAAATTTATGAGCGGATGTCCATTTGCTCCTTCAAATGGCGAGGATGGCGGGGATAATGAGTTTTAGTTTGTTATGGTTATTGATTTGAGACATTATTATTTGTTGTAGTTGGATGTTTAGACTTGGTAACATTTACACTTGACTATGATTGTAATATTCTAGACTAGATTGAATGGTGCCAGAATGTTTAACTTTTTTTTGGATGTTTTAGTTACAAATATTTATGTTTTGCATTTTATGGATTTGATTAGTTGCAATGGTGGATTGATTGGTTAGCATGGTAGATTAATTTGTTGTTGTATATTTGAATTGGTAGGTGGTATTGCTTTAATAGAGCTGGAATTT